ACTACAAATCATTTGCATAACAGAAAACCTGTAATCTCTAAACCCTTTTCTATTATCCTTGATCTACAAATAAAACAAATTACAATAATCTTACAAGAAATCATTACATAATATATAAAAGCAAACTAATAAAAAAAAAGGGGGTAAACTTCCCTACTCCCGCACAATTTGTATTCCGCAAAAAAAAACGTTGGCAAAAAGTTGTAAACTTTCAACAGATATGGCGTGATTACAGTTGCCTCTGGCCAAGAATGAGTTCCGGAAAAGTCATTTATAAAATGGAAATTATACCGCCCAAGTCGAGGACAGACGCCGCACACTCTCACACCCTCACACACATTGGCTTTTCCTGGAGCTCATCAAAAATATGCTGGCACACAGACACGGACAAAATGGCGACACAGAAAAGGAGACACTCACACTCACACAAAAAGGACATTAACTCAGGGACACACACACACACACAGAGACAGAGTGGTAGGAAAAATGAGTCCCATGTCTTTCATTAAAACTTTCGGCAAATTATCGGGTAACATATGCTTGCGGCTTGATTGTCAAATATAGTTCACCAAAAGGGAAGCTCCCTCTCTCTGTCTCCCGACATCCCTGAGTGAGACACACACACACACACTCAGAGGTGTGTGTTACACATTTCCACTTGAGTGTTGTAAGGGGAATTTGCCAGAGATAGAGACATGAACTCCATATAAATATTAAAGCAACTTCAACGGACTCTTTGCTGCTTCCCTTTGATTTCCTTGGGGAGCTGGGAAAAGCATCAGGGAAAGCGTTCGCAATTTCCCCTTTTCATTTCCAGCATCCAATAGAAGGGGTGGCAGTTTCCCGGCTTGGCATTGGACTGAGCTTAACAAAAGGGGGGCAAAAAATAAAGAAAACAGAACCAGAAAAGGATGTAAATCCGCGCAGGCGTTGTAATATTTTTCAAGCCGACACCATTGAGCGGAGAATAAACCAAAACACCCTTGAGTGAGTTGGATAAATTAGCTAGTCATTTTTTGTAACATTTATATGCCTAATAATGGAATAATCATGGCAATAATCAACTGCAAATATGAACAAAAAAGTATCATATTCATAGTAATAATTAAGGTAAACTATTGTAGCATACTTTTTGGGACTATTTTTTGTACACTTGCAGGGTATTTTCATAGTGAACGAATCATTTCAGCATCGACAGCCGAGTCAATCTAGACATCTTTGGCGGAAATAATTTTTTTTTAATTTTTTCAAAATTTTATAATGGGTTACATCGTAAAAATTGTCAAAATATGTAAAAATGTTTCATTTTTTTAAATATTAAATTAAGTTTGCAGATTTATTAACCTAATAAAAACTAACATAGGACAGCTTTCCGAATGAAAACTAAGTCATTTTTGGCTTAGTTAAGAAGTTTTTAAGATTTGAATGGTCGAAAAAATTGTCTTATAAAATTATGAATAAAGAATGCTATTATAATATTATTCAGGAGCTGTGAAGGAGTCATTCCCGACCCTATAAATCATATTTATTCTTAATCAGCATTAAAAACCAAATCTTTTTAACGATGTTTAACAAAAACTTAATTTTTTCAAAAATGCACAATTTTATAATGGGTTAAAACTGTCAGAAAAAAAATTTCAAAAATTTTAATTTTTTTTTTAGTTTAAGTTGAGTATGTAGAATTATAACCCTAATAAAAACTAACATAGGACAGCTTAACGAATCAAAATTAATGCATTTTTGACTTAGTTATGAAGTTTTTAAGATTTGATTTGTCAAAAAAAATTGTCATATAAAGATATCTATAGATGTGTATCAAAAAGTCCGAACATTCTAATCCTAGTTATGACCAATTTTTGATTCGATCCTATAATTCAATTGCAAACTGTTTCCCGATGTTAGTTTCTTTCCTGTTTTTAATCTATCTTAATTCCTCAAAATTACTTATAAGTGTTACGGGTTTTTATAAATTACTGATATATAATACATATTTGTTCCAATCCTTTTGACAAATGAATGATGCCAGTTATCTCAATTTCCGGTCAACTTAAGGCCAACATAATTAACAAAATAACAGAGGACCCTAGCAAAAGGCGCCCTAAAATTGCAGCCTCCCATCATTTTACAAGGTCCTTCCTTCACCTTCCTCACAACTTTTACACTCGGTTTTAGTTAGTTTTGCCTGGGCAGAGTCATTAGTAGTCCTATGTTAATTTGGTGCGCCTAATAAACTGCTACTTTTTGCCCGAGCCCGGCACCTGGCGCACACGGAGACAGGGTGGAGCTACCATTGTGCCATTACAAACCACCCAAAAGCAACACCCAAACTCATGCCCCATTCTCATGCCCCATCCTCATGCCCCAACCCCCCAAAAACTGGCATTCCCAGTCCCGCTGTGAAAGGTTGGTGGCGCTGTGCGAATTTGCCACTTCAACAGCTCCTTGGTGGCAACACGGTCACGTACGCGAAACGAGTGAAAGCTGAAATTTCGTTGAAAAAGGATATATGGGCACAGAGCTGGCATTGTCCTGGGGCCGTGAGCTGAATTCCAACTGCGAAGTAGCGAAGCCCACACCTCCCCCTTTCCTATCTGTCTGCTCGTCTGCCATCTTGGCTTCTTACATACACACAGACTTTTCTTTTTTTTATTTTTTCCTCTTTCCCTGTCTCTTGCTCTCAGCCTTTTCTGTAAAATGGCGTGGCAATGTGGAAAGCAAAAAAAAAAACAAGGAAAAATGGTGAAAAATTATTGATTTTTTTCTTGGTGAAGTGCTCTCTCTCTCCTTATCCGCCAGCTATCTTGGCCTTAAAGACAACGCTGCCAAACTAATTTTTGTACAACTCGGTGCAGCTGTCGAGGATCGAGTGGAGGAGAGTATGTACACAACTGTCAAATTGTGATTCACTCTTATTTATTCATCATTTTTTGGTAGTTGTGACACCGCATCATATGATGCCATCAGGCCATCATTTTTACCACACATTTTTAATATTCACACAAAACACATGTCAGAAAGACAGGCAGAAAAGTCAGAAGACGAATCAGAAAAACTTTGTTACCCAACAACAAACTGACATGTCACGCGGCCAAAGCGCGGGGGGAAGTACAAAAAAATAATAAACATTCCAATCAAATGTACAAGTTTTTTGGTTAAACAAAAACTAAATGAGAAACTTTCAAAAGGTGACAGTTGAAGGAGAAAGACAAAAGTCTATATTATAAGAGTTCATTGATAATTTGGAGGGAGTTAACAGAGAAAAAATTTAAGAGAACTTATTAAATATAAGAACTAGTTATATTTTATATGGTTTTAATTATTTTTCAATAAATACCATTAATAATTATTACAATTAAAAATTTAAAGGTGCATTGAAGTTTATAGCATTATATTATATAGCGTTAGTTCAGACAGACGGGTGGTTGGTTGGGTTAGGGACAAGTAATAATGTCGCAAATAACGTTTGGTATTTCAAATAAATTTCCTATTCAACGTTAAAATATTGATTCTATCGGAAAAAACACCTATCTATATATATATATACATATATATATTTTTCTTTGACGATCGGACTATATCATTTACTTGGTTTCAATCATTTATAGCATTGTAAACCTATACCTATTCACTAAAACTTAACTACTAAACAACTAAACTTATACTAATTTACACCCAAATCATAAAAATAAGACTTTTCTATAATTAAATATGCAGTTTTTATCTTAAAAAATAGCTTTCTTCCAAATACTTTTTCAAAAAACTATAGTCTTTGCTTAACTCCAAGTAAAAGGCTTTAAAATTTTCTTCAAAATGGTGTCAGGTATTGAATTAATTTCCTCTTTAAGTTTAATAATTTTCTTTCTTTCCTTTCTCCTTTCCTCACTCCCATCTTTTTACAGTGCAATTATGTATTGTATATTCTCTTTTTCATTTTTTAGTGCCTCGCTTTCAACACTCTTTAAAATAAGCGCATTAAATGCAAAGCTGCAACTTCCGATTTTTACGCGGTACGCACGAAAGGGTTTTTTATTTATATTTCTATAGGCTCAAAACCAGTTCGTGGTCTTAATTATGAGCAAATGTTGGTCAAGTTATGCGATCGTTCTTTATTTTCGTACATATTTACCCGTTTTTGCTGCCCTCAAAGGTCTCACTTTTCACCTCAAGAGCTTTTGTGAGCCCGAATCGAAATCCTATAATTATGTGCAATCAATACTTTTGCAATATCGGCTTAAAGCCAAAACGGATGTGTATTGGGACTGGAAGGATTGGTTATTCAATCGGACGGAAGACCCTGGGGAGTTGTTAATAAAGCGATTGGAGGAACATCTTCTATCTACAGGGAAAAGGTGAATTAAGGTTTACTTTTTTTTCATAGAATATAATAAGAAAAATAAAGAAAGAAAATTTAAATAATTTCAAAAATTTCGAATTAAAATAGTTTTTTGTAAGAAAAGCAAACTACCAACTAAATAATTGTAAATTCTAGAATTGTTTCAACAAATAAATAAATATGAAATATTATTGTACAACTAAATACGGATTATCTTCATATAAAATTTGGCAATTTATATAAAATAAATAAAGTTAAAACATGCACTTACCCAAAGTTTTAAATACATTTTAGTTTTTTTTAAATCTTTAAATACTTTTTAGTGTTTTCAATTATTTTGTTCACTTTTAACCACACATTTACTTTTTTTAACCGTTTTAACCGATACTGAAATAAGAAAATTAAAAACAAAATTAGAAAAAAATTTAAGCAGTGCAAATAAAAAAAGCAAATTCACGAACCGGTCTTAAAATCTATTTTTTACTTATCAAAGTTTTTTACCCATTTCATGTATATTTTCATGTATATACACTACCTTAAAAATTATAGGAACCAGAGGGATGCTATAAAATGGAATATGCTATAAAAACAGCAAAAAAAAAACAATTATTTTTATTTAAGTTGTTTAATGAATTTTTAATTGGTATTGATATATTGGTGGCTTCCCAGGAAGCTGGTTAAGGATATGGGCGTCAGCAGATGTACGATGATCCCAATACAGTGGGCGCCAAGATTATTCAAATTCTGGAGAAGATTCTAAGTAAAAAAAATATATCGAAAGTCGATATTTTAAGGCTGCGATATATGAGAGGACAAAAGTATCGCACTCAATATGTAATCAAAATTGTCTTTCATTTTTTGAATATTTTAAGAATTTAGATTTTACTTTAAAAATCATTGGTTTTAATTAGTGGTTTTAATATTTCGAAATAAATGTAGTGTATTTATTTATTTTGAAATATATGTATTATAGTCAATTTTCTTACCAACTTACCGATTTCACAGGTTGCCTTGGCAACGGAGCTCACAAATTTTTCACAACATTCAATTGACAAGTGTCAAGGAGCAGGTGTGCCAACGCTGACTCGGATTAATTTGTTAATACAACGAAGATGAGATTCATTCCGCTGCATACGACCAACACGGCGATTGTGTACAAGAACTCGCTGTGCTCCTTTGCTCGCTTATAGTCTGGCCTTCATAGCCCTGTCCGTGATGATACCCGTCTTGCTGGTCTCTCTGCTGAGTCCGTACTCGGGAATCTCGGAATCGAGGGTTCTGTACGAGCAGCCCAATGTGGAGTTCAGTTATCAGTACATATTCGTGGGCACAACGGAGAAGGATGGTGAGCAGGAATTGGCGGTGGCATGCAGCAGCTTCAGTGAGTTGAATGCACTAATGGGCGGCTATACCAATAGCTGCAGTGCCACCAGATATTGGACCGAAGATGTGGACTATGAACGGTGACGGATCGGGCGCATTTCCAACTGGAGCTACAGGATCTGCCCGCTCGCTGGTTAGCTTCAATTTGATGGTCTTCTTTGAGGCTCAGCTGCAGCACAAGTGTGATTTGTCGCCGCCCTCGGTGCTGGCCCATCAGCTGCAGATACCGCTGGCCGCTCGCCTCAACAACGGGCGCATCCAGCTGAAGGGAGAGTTGCAGTTGAAGCAATACGTAGAGTTCACTTGCCCCTTTCCGGGTCGCAACATCAAGACGCAGTTTCGACAGGTGCATGTGGACACGAATGCTAGCGCCGCTGACATTGGACAGTACAAAATGGAATCGCTGCTTGCTCAGGTTAAGGCAAATCCTGCCTATTTTCAGCTGTCGGTGCAGGAGACTTACTACAGGCCAACTCCACCACGTTTGGAGCCCGGCCTTGTCGTCGAACTGGAACTGGATGTGCTTCAAGTGCCCGCTCGCTATCATCTTAGCATTTGGGAGCGTCTCGGGCAGTTCTGGTTATACTTTGCCTCCTTCTTTGGCATCTCGTTTTACATCATGAACAAGCTAAAGGACTTTCTCTTCGGTCGCCACATCCTGCGCTCTTGGGAGATCATACCCTGGAAGAAGCTCTACTGACACGAATCGGGTGCCATCCTGGAGATGGACAATTTCTCAATTGGCGAGTGATGATTTTGGCTATCAATGCCCAATGCAAATTCATTGTCAGTCAAATAATAAATATAACAAATGTACAGAAAATTTAAGTGCTGTAAAGGACATTCCCTCCATTACTTGTTGTCTTGGCTGTTGGACATGAGGGCCAGATTGCCAAAGGAAGGTGCAGCGGACGAAGATGCAGACTCAGGGGTGGGATCAAAGGCACGATTATCCTCCAGAATAATAGTGGTGTGGGGATAGTGATCTAATTGCACGAATAAGTAACGATATTCCAATTTGCCACAGCGAGCCTAAGGCAGGGCAATCGTTTTACAAAAAAAAAACATAAGTAAGAAGACGCGTGCTTACCCTCCTGGACTCCAGTTGAACCGTCGCCTTGTTCCTCAGTCCCTGCACATAGAACTGCATTCGCATGTGCGGCTTGCCATTGCGTTCGTAGCTGGAGTGTGCCACATGCTGCCGGCGTCCGCGGCGCGAAGTCTCGCCGAATCCCTTGATGGGCGCACCAATTGCATCTTGTACCCGCGGATCCTCGACCACGCGGCTCAAGGCATCGGCATATATATTATTGGGACTCTCGCTGGAGAAGAGCTCTCGGAATATGGCGAAGAACATTACGCAGGTGACACCCAAGCCGGCAACAATAATGGCGGTATAGCTTGCCGTCTTCGTGTTCTCTTTGATCTTTTCGCCGATGGGACGCACGTCCGTGGAGACCTGGGCATTATCCTGCGACTGCTGCAGTGCCCCGCCACCACGAGAACCTAAGTATATGTAGTGAAATTGCATTTTTTTTTTAAGTAGTGTTAGTGCAGTACATACCTTGAGACTCCGCCTGCCGCCATTGTGGACTCCAGTGCAAAAATGCCGCGCATTTCAGCCGCGCCGTGTTGCTGGACAGCAGCTTCTGACGGTGGCACACTAAATTACGCAATAAAGCCAGCCGTGACATCGCTGTATCTCCTATTAAATTAACGAAAACAAATAGACGCACTTTGTGAAAAAAGACTTCTGATCAGGTGTATTGGACGATTACAATAAAGCTATCGGCTATCGATAACGATTACACATCACACTTGTGCTTTATGGTAATTTTTCCTAAGTCCTAAGCGGTCACACTGCGTTCAATGAAAACCAAAACAATTGTATTTATGAACAAAATTGAGAATACCTGGTTTAAAAAAACCTTTAAAATTAGTTAAAGCCTAAAACATGAAAGTGTAAGTGTGAATACTATATAGACATGTCAAAAATATCGTTTTTATGATTGCAGGGAAATCTGTCGAGTTTGTCTGGAAGCGTCGGAGGAGATGGTGAATATATTTGATGGCATCCCAGGCAAAAGAATTTCTATTGCTGAAATGATTTCCCAGTGCACTGGATTTCGCGTTTCTAGAGGGGATGCGTTTCCCAAAACTATATGTTTGCCTTGCAAGGAGGATGCGACAAATGCATATGAGATAAAACAACTTTGCGAGACGAACCAGCGGGCCTTCTGGCAGCTTAAAAAGGATATCGAGGAGGAGACGGACCTACTGGTGGAAGAAATCAGCGACAAATCAAGCACGGAAGCTATCAAGTATCATTGCGAAGTGGAAAATGAAGAAATCGAATCAGAAAGAGATAGGTTCCACGGGCTAGTAAAGAACGAGCCAATTGAAGATGACGTCTTCGAGGAAGATTCCCTCAATTTTTCTGACTGTGACAATCAGATCGACATCGAAGTGAAAACTGAGGAATGCAATGATTCTTTGCCAGCCAATGATCAGCCTCTTGGGAATATTGTTAATGATGCGGATAAGACGCAACCTCCCCTGAAAAAAGTTCAACATCCGTGTCCACATTGTCAGAAGCCTTTTTCAAGAAATGCAGATCTGAAGCAACACATCCGAACCCACACAGGAGAACGGCCCTTTAAATGTTCCCACTGTTCGAAGGCTTTTGCACAGTTCGGATGTCTTCAGATACACATTCGAATGCACACTGGAGAACGACCGTACACATGTTCCTTTTGTCAAAGTCTTTTCTACGACTCGGAGGTTATAAGCAACATCTCAGAATCCACACAGGAGAACGACCTTACAAGTGTTCCCACTGCGAAAAATCCTTTGCTCGATTTGAAAACCTTAGGCAACACATCCGAACCCACACAGGAGAACGGCCCTTTAAATGTTCCCACTGTTCGAAGGCTTTGCACAGTTCGGATGTCTTCAGATACACATTCGAATGCACACTGGAGAACGACCGTACACATGTTCCTTTTGTCAAAAGTCTTTCTACGAGTCGGAGGTTATAAGCAACATCTCAGAATCCACACAGGAGAACGACCTTACAAGTGTTCCCACTGCGAAAAATCCTTTGCTCGATTTGAAAACCTTAGGCAACACATTCGTACCCATACAGGAGAACGACCCTACAAGTGCCCCCATTGCGAAAAGTCGTTTCAACACATCGGGCCTCTTCATATACACATCCGAAAGCACACTGGAGATCGACCTTTCAAGTGTTCCCAATGCCCAAAAGCCTTTGCAGCCAAGCAACAGCTTCAGCAACACATCAAAACCCACACAGGAGAAAAGCCTTACCAGTGTTCCATTTGCCAACAGACTTTTACACGAAAGGCAAACCTTAAGAGGCACATCCGTCAGATACACACAAAAGAAAAGCCTTAAAATGATCTTTATCAGTTAATTTTATGAATATTGATTATGTGAGCCTGGGTTTGAAATCTTTAATTCGCTGTTTTATTCTATTGTATATTTATTATATTAAACTTAATTTGTTAAATTTGTGTTCTGTTTTATATGTTACTACAAATAGCGGCCAACGGAAGATTTATTAAAGGCTATTCCCAAGTTCCTATACAGGACCTGCTGGATGTTATGTTTTCAAAAAGTTCGCCATATTAAACGTTATCGATTTTGTTTACGGTTTATATACAGAGTTGCCTTATTAAAAGAATATTTTTGCCTTTTTCTTGCTGCTTTTGAAGCTTTAAGACTTGGCAACACTGGTTGGAACTAGTTACTTTAGGTTTGGAAAACGTCACTCGGTGATAAAACTAAAAACTTGATAATTCATTTTAGAAGCAAAACAGAATCTTGTTAATCACGGCGCTCATCGGTCGTTTATTTAGACGCTACTACGCGGTTAGTTCCAATCTCAGCAATATAATGGTGGTGACACACAACGTTAAGGGGTACGAGGAGTTCTCCAAGAAAATGGAGGAGCTGGAGAACGGCAACGAGGCGGTGCACGTACTTTTCAGCGGCGGCAAGGACGAGAATGGCCAGAGCTGGTGCCCCTACTGTGTGAAGGGTAAGAGATTCAATAACCCCAATGTGGTTAACCGCTGGCTATCAGTTTTCTCAAACTCCCACATAACGCATTTGTACATATCGGATTGCAGCGGAGCCGGTGATACACGACGCTCTAAAGAAGGCCCCCGGCAACTCACATTTCGTTCATGTGGATGTGGGCGAGAGGAGCTAGTGAGTAATTTATAATTATCTTTTATGACAACTGCGGTTGGATGGTCTTACATTAAAAAAAGTCATTTAATTACAAGAAAATATGAGAATTTGCTAATTAACACTAACTGAATTCCGGTTATATGGAGCTAGTCATTCCACCGCAGTTGTTTGTGTTGAAATACACACTCGAGTACTTGTTCCCCATCGAGAACATTCCTGATAAACGAAAACACATCAAACAACGACCGATAAATGACCGAGCAAGCTTTATGATGCTTTGAGTCCCCTTATCTTTTAACCATTGTTAAGCATAAAATAACACTTGTATTTAACGCAGCTGGAAGGATTTGAACTGTCCCTTCCGCAAGGATCCCAACACGCATCTGATCTTCTTGCCCACTCTGTTGCGGTGGAAGCAGCCACAGCGCCTGGACGGTGAGCGCTGCTCCAACCAGGATCTCGTAGAGATGATGTTCGAGGATGAGGACTAAGTGCTAAGCGCTGTGCCTGTCGTATATACTTATACATAAATCCGTATATATTTTGGAACTCACTTCAAGTCAAGTTGGAATACATCAGAAGCCTAAACAACTCGTTTAATTAAATCGTCCCTCAGTAATTGCTCTTGTACTTCTTGATCTCCACCATCACCACATGGATGTTGGTCAGCTGGGCGCGTGCATTGGGCGTGAGGAGCTTATGGAAGCGATGGTAATATTGTACCAAACTGGCCAAGGCCAGCTGTAGGAGTTGGGAGCCCGTCAGTAGGGAGGGAAACGAGAGTAGTACTTCCCTGTTCAGTTCCTCCAGCGATTTCTTCCAGTTGGCTGAGAAACTGGCCACCAATGCCAGACTTCTTCGCTCCTGTTTCCTAAGTTCGTCCATCTGCTCCTTCTCAAAGAAATGCTCGCACTCCTTTACAAACTGAATAATACCGCCAAAATGTGGAGCCAATATCTCTTCCACATATTCGGCACTGCGGGCGTTGAGTTGCTCCCTGAAGGCCTCCGCTTCTTTGGAATTGTCTCGGGTGTGCTCCATTAATACGCCCAATACCAGGTCGTAGTTGTTGATCAGGTAGATGAGCTGATCCTTTCGCGTTGGAAATATAGCTGCCATACGAAGTATAAAGCATTCCACTTCGTTTTGGAGTTCCAGAAGCAATCGGCTAACCAGCTCATTGGGAAAGTGCTCGGAGATTCCTACAATTGCTGCACTGAACTCTGCATAGCGACGTGTTATCTGAAAAGTAATACACACACATTATATGACAATGCATTATTCTTTCTATGTAACTAATGATACTACACAACTTTTTTAATGGTAAACTCTAAAAAAACCAGGAGTATAACTTACGTAGTGCGGCCCCAATTCCTTGTTAAACTTTGTGGGATCACAGTCGTGAATACTCTGTATATTTAGGCGGAATACTAACTCCAAACGCGGCCAAATAACCGACTGCAGGGAATCCCAATATCTATTCACAAAACAAGTTTATAATAAAGCAAACCAAAAATGTAGCAACTCACTTATCCAAAGCGGGTACACAACGCTTGTGGCACATTAATTGGTAGCGGAATATGAGATGGATGCACAGGAACATGGCTATGGTATCATAGCAGTCGTGTATGGAGGTCTCCAGATTTTTCTAGATATAAGAAAAGGTTAAAAGTGCACTCATTTACCAATCCTTGACTTACAATCATTAGGGTTAAAGTTTTGCCCATGATTTGATTGAACAAATCTTGGGCTTGGCTGCCGCGGACCATGAAGAACTCGGTAACAAAGAGATACTCCCTACAGGCATTATCCACGAGGGCGTACTGCTCCGAACGGAAGAGTGCTTCTACTGTGTACTGTAAAGACAACATGAAAAGAGTAAGAATGAACTTGATTTGGTAAACAAAGTTATTTAATCCTACCCTATTCTTGAGCTGTGCATGGGGAACTATGATGGGGGCCTCCAGCTGCTGATTAAGTATATCTCCCTCTTGCCAATGGTAAATATGGTGCTCTTGTGCTTTAGACTTGTGGTCTTGGAAAATAAGCCCTTGGAGGCATTGTCTTCGATGCCCATAAGGTCATCTTTTGTACAGGATTCCTCGAATTTGAGACTCGTCAAGCGGGTGGAGTAACTCTGGAAAGAAAGATATATCAACATATAATCCGAAATAAATCAAATCCTTAACAACACACCTTAAAATAACTATAGTAGATCTTGCTCATCGTATCGATGTATTCGCTGCATATTTCCTGGGCCACATGCCGCTCATTCGACAGAATAAACTCGAAGAAGAACTTGTGCTTTAGCATGGCATTCTGGGGTATCTGGTAATTGGTCATTGGCTTGCGGAATTTGTAGATCTGCTCCAGCAAGTACGCACGAATCTTGGACATGGCCTTCAGTCGGAGTTTCTGCAGCACATCGCTCACATCGCTGGTAGACTTGGACTCCTTGAAGCTGAGCTCCTTTACCAGAGACAGCTTGTGATTCAAAACATTCAATTGGGTGCTGAAATCCCGCTCGGTAACTGGTGTTTCCATGATTATATTAATCATCTCCTCGGATACGGCCATATCCTCAATAAACTGTGACAACTGGGCCTTCACCGACTGCCGGTTGGTTAGTTGAAGTGACATGGACACAGATTTTCTCTGCAACTGCGTGATCTCCGTGCTAATGTTGTTCAAAACGCTCTGGAAGCTCATCAGCATATTCTCCATTCGCTCCAAGACATCGTCGCAATCGTTAATCTGATTGTGAAGATTTGCTATATTCTGGGACTCGGCTATATAGTCTGGATTGGAAAATAAGAGTCAAATTATGTTTAAATATGGAATGTATGTTTAGTGTCCTCTTTACCCTCAATGGATTTGTTCTCCACCTCCTTGAACTCCTTTTCAATCTGGCGTGAATACTGGCGTAGATCTGTGGTGTTTTTCAGGATTTCCCTCACCTCCTCGTTGTCCAGCTGTTCCGTCATTTGGGGCGACGTCACCTCGGCCATTGTGTGGCGTTTTTAATTTCAGTTTTTCAATTGTTTTCCCCAACTTTCCTCAACGTATGTCATCAAACCACAGAAGTCGAATCAGCTGTTTTTGTTATCGGTATGTGCAAGCTCTTCCGTGAGTGGCACATAGTGCTGCCATTATCGTATATCGTGAGCAACTATCGCCACAAGCTACATAAAGAAAATTTGAATAATTATTAAATATTTTTATTAGCTTTTTGAAGATTATGCAATAAATAAAGATTTTTAACAATATATATAAAGACTTGCATTCAATGTATTTAGCTTGTAAAATATATTATGTCTCTAAATATTTTTTTAAATATCAAATTTTTGCACTAGCTTTAATTTGTGATCAAGCATTCCATCCGGAAACTGTTTTTAAAATAATTAATATAATATTATATACCCATATACCTTTTAACCGATAGTAAGCTTTTTTTGCACAGTAAATTCCCCCACGTTTGCAAATAAACAGCTGTGAGCGCGGTATATCGTTATCGATACCGAGTGTGTGTCGGAAATAGAAGTTTACGCGTTATAGCGCAGAAAAAAAGGAAAACACCGAGACGGCGAAGGGAAAAGCGCCGAGAAAATAAGGTTAGCCAATTCAGGGAGACGAGCCGAGAGCCAGAAGAACGACACCGACATCGACGGCGCCCAACATGACCAGTTTTCGCAAGCGCACCGTGCAGAAGCCAATCCGCGGCACCCGCACCTCCCCGCACACGGCGCAGGTGATCACCTCGAGTGGCAATCCCTACTTGGACGTTGTCATAGGCGGCGGCCTGCCCATGGGCTCTATTTGCCTGATCGAGGAGGACCGCTTCATGACCCACGCCAAGGTCCTGGCCAAGTACTTTCTGGCCGAGGGCGTGCTCTCCAAGCATGAGATCTTTCTGGGCAGCCTCGATGACATCCCGGCGGAGATGCTGCGCCGCCTGCCGCGTCCGCTTACCGATCTGGAGACGGAGGTAGAGCAGCGCGAGGAACAGGCCGGCAGTGGCGGCGGCGAGAATGGATTGCGGATTGCCTGGCGGTACAACGATCTGCCGCTGGTTAATTCCGAGCATGCCACTGCCAAGATCGGGCACCACTTCAACCTGATGGAGCAGATGGACTCAATGATGCTGTACTATGCCAACACCACCATGTGGGACGATAGCCACAAGGAGCCGGACATTGTCATTGCCGAGGAGTTCTCGAAGAGCAGCTCCCCGTCCCTGGAGCAGCAGCCCACGGAGGATGCCCCACCCATTCCCACCCTTGCCGGAAAAGAGACCGCTGCCGCTATTGAAGAGAAGCCTCCGACCCAAGAGGAGGGAATCACTTCCAATAACAACAACAACATTAACAATAACAATACCAGCAGCGTCGCTACAAACACCACCAGCACAAAGACGGACGGCAGCCAGCAGGAGCCGCCGCAGGTTTTCCACAATCCGAGATACGGTGGCCTGCTGAACGACATCCAGGAGCTGCTCAGCGACGAGAGCTTCGTGGCCGGGACCAAGAAGAACCTGTGCCGCGTATGCCTGACCTCGTTAGGCTCCCCCCTGTGGTACGATGAGAACTTTGGCGAGGACCTGATCAAGTTCCTCACCCTGCTGATGGCCAGCGTGCGGAACTGCAACTCGGTGTGTCTGATCACGATGCCCATGCACCTGATTGCCAAGTACGACGCCAGCCTGGTGCCGAAGATCCGTCAGCTGGTGGACTATGCCATCGAGCTGGAGTCTTTCGCCGGTTCCGAGCGGGAGACGCACCCGGCCTTCAAGGAGTACAGCGGACTGCTCCATTTACAGAAGATGTCGGCGCTGAACACGCTGGCTGTCCACATGCCGGACACCACGGATCTGGCCTTCAAATTGCGACGCAAGAAGTTCATCATTGAGAAGTTCCACCTGCCGCCAGAGCTGCAGGAATCGCCAAAGCCGGATAACTGCAGTGGCGGCCACCTCCTAAGCAGCAATTCCAATGCCACGGCCTCGCTGGATTTCTAGCTGTCAGCGAAATTAGAAACTAAGTGCGCGTATGTAACCACGAAACAACAACTAAATTGCATAATAATAAGCCAAGTAAATGCATTAATATATCAGCCCTGATTTTGTACCAATTTTGAAAACCAACCGCTCTTCTCCGTTTATCGATTGTTCCACAGCTGATGCTGATTGGCGGTTATCGTTTCAGTGTTGTGTGATCGAAGAAGGGGAGAACGCGTAGAAAATGTAAACATGTCCGAGTTGAATAGTATTTTTAGTGATTTAAAAGTGATTTATGTGCCACAACTGCAGTGGGTGGACGTGGAGGAGTGGCTATATGGCGAGGAGGCTGAAGAGAATGAAATGCGGCAGCGGGCGCACAAGTTCTGGGCCCTGGCAATGTGCAAGCAAGATCTGTGCAGGCAGGAGACACAGTTACAGTTACTTCGCGATTTGGCGGGAGTTATACGCTCAATGCGGAATGAAAGCCAGACCAGCTACAGCAATACCCACGACAACTGGGCAAACATCATCGGTGTGTCGCCGGCGAATGCATATCTGGCATACATCTACTCCCTGGTCAGCATGGGCATTGCCCCGGAGCATGTGCAGCAGGCTGCACCAAAAGACCTCAACGAACACCTTAACCTGCAGCTGGCCCTGAACGCCGTAAGCACCTACCTTCTCACACTAACCATTCCGGGGGCCAAGAGCTATGGCGTCTTCGACGAGGATGTGATCGAGCACGTTCTCAAGATCTTTAAACTGCTGGAACAGAATGCCAGCCGCAGTGTAAGAGCCAATACCATCTGGATGTTCTTCCTGACCATCTGCGATGACCTGAAACTTGTCTTCCGCTATGTCCACTTCAAGGAGCACCTCAAACCGCGCGACAAAATCATCCGCTGCCTCATGGAAATTCTCTACATGAACTTCAAGAACGGATATCAAAATTCCTGTGAGTACCACTTTCTTTTTTACTACATTAGGTTAGATGTTTTGGGAAATATTCTAGATTTCCAATTGAATTAAAAATTACAAATGGAATTTTATTTTTGAAATGTCGCGATAATCGAATATAAACAGGCACCCGATAGTTTTTAAGTTTGTTATTGCCGCTCAGCTGTTGCAGCCTGGTGTGTACACACTGAAGCACACCGCCTTTGCAAGATTACACAAACAAGTTGAAAATCAATGAAAATCTCTAAAAGTTAGCGCGTAAACACAACAAATAAATAGCTGACGATGCTGCGCAGCCTCTCCGCCCTTCGGGGGCAGTGCCAGCAGCTGTTCCGAAGCTCCATCCCGCACCAAAGCAATGTACAAAAGTTTGCACAATTTTGGCGCATGAAGTCGACAAATTCACCGGAGGAAGCTGCACGGAAACTGCGATCAAAATCCACACTCTACTATATAACAGCCGGCGGAGTGCTAATCGTTGGACTAAGCTATGCGGCCGTGCCTCTGTACAGCATCTTTTGCCAGGCATATAGCTACGGCGGTACCACCACCCAGGGCCACGACGCCGAGAAGGTGGAGCACATGCAAAAGGTCCAAGATCGAGTGCTGAAAATCCGCTTCAACGCCGACATTGGCTCCTCCATGCGATGGAATTTCAAGCCACAACAGTACGAGATTAAGGTGGCACCAGGAGAAACAGCGCTGGCTTTTTACACGGCACGGAATCCCACGGACAAGCCCGTAATCGGCATCAGCACGTACAATGTGATTCCCTTTGAGGCGGGCGCCTATTTCAACAAGATCCAATGCTTTTGCTTTGAGGAGCAGCAGCTTAATCCGCACGAGGAGGTCGATATGCCCGTGTTCTTCTACATTGATCCAGAAATCACTGCAGATCCTGCGCTGGAGTTTTGCGACACCATCACCCTGTCCTACACGTTCTTCGAGGCCAAGGAAGGCCTGCAACTGAACTTCCCCAGCTATGCGAAACCGCATACGGCCACCGCATAGGAATAGATTTTCTTGATAATTTTTTCGAAGAAATAAATATTTTGTTATATATATAGTGCGCAGTCTTAAAGGGATGTAAATACTCTTAAAATACAACGATGTTTCCTCTGCTCATTAATCAAATTACGTAATTTTAACAAACTAAATCGCAAAGGAAAATCTGCGAAAATCATTAGAATTAAATTAAAAAACACCCAAAAATTATACTTCTGAATTAAAATTAATTCGATAGACCTATTCAAATTGAAAAAAAATCGATAACTTCCAACGCCGCGCAACGTTTGAGAGCCACAACAGCTGTTTGCAGTTTGAGAGGCTTGGCATTCAGCATCTGGAGCTGGAGGGAGAAACCGAATTTATTAATAGATAACGCTGATTCTCCGGCATATTGCGAGCAGCGCGGACGCTTCCGCTGCCCCAGATAGTACGTTTTGACCCCTTCAACCCGCCATGTACTGAACCAAATGACGTGGACGCAATGAACAGGCGACAAGTGATTTTAGGCCTGCTCCTGGCGAGCGCCTTTGTTTGCATTTTTGGATCGGTGGAGGAGACCGAGGAGGATAATCAGGAACTGCCAACCGTACTCATAGCTCTGCTGGTGCGCAACAAGGCACATACTCTGCCCATGTTCCTGAGCTATCTGGAGCAGCAGGATTACCCAAAACACAGGATTGCCATTTGGTAAGGCTAAAACACACTCCAAGCAGCGAGTAACTCATTAAATTCCGCAACATCTCAGGTTGCGCTGCGATCACAGCAATGACGGCAGCATAGATGTGCTGCAGAAGTGGCTGGAGCATTCGGGAGAGCTCTATCACGGTGTTAATTACGCTTTGGAGCCGGACGAGCAGAGTTATTTCAACGAGAGTTCACCATACGAGTGGCCCGCATCGCGTTTCAAGCACTTGATCTCCCTGAAAGAAGAGGCATTCGAATATGCTCGCGATATTTGGGCTGACTTTGTCTTTTTCCTCGATACCGATGTCTTTCTCACTTCCAAGGAAGCTTTGAAAACGCTCACCCGTCTCCGGTTACCCATTGTGGCTCCCATGCTGCTCTCGGAGAGCTTGTACTCAAATTTCTGGTGCGGCATGACGGAGGAGTATTACTACAAGCGCACCGATGAGTACAAGGAAATCTATCATGGGAAGAAAGTGGGCAGCTTCCCAGTACCCATGGTGCACACAGCTGTTATGGTTGACATGAACTACAGGGGCTCAAGGAACCTCACATTCGATAGGCATAGATTGCTGGAAATGCAACGGAGCAGGGGACAGGAGCCACTTTATGATGGACCAGCGGATGACATTATAGTTTTTGCCATATCTGCCAATAGTTCGGGCATTCCCCTGCATATCTGCAATGACATTAACTTTGGATATATCCTGCAACCCCTGGAACCGGGTGATACCTTGGATAATGATATCCAGCAGATGGTAAATATCAGAAGCAGCATGGTAATCGATCTTGGTGCTGTGCCCCCAGTGCTGGACTACTTCAAAGAGCTGGTAAAGAAGCCGGAGAAATCAAAACTGTCATTAGATCGCATCTTTATGATCAACTTGAAGCGGCGGCCGGAGCGGCGTGAGAAGATGGAGCGGCTCTTTGAGGAGCTGGGCATCGAGGCCGAGTACTTTGAGGCTGTCGATGGAAAGGAACTAACCGAGGATCGACTGCAGGAGATGGGCGTTGGCTTTCTGCCTGGCTATGAGGATCCCTATCACCATCGTGCCATGACAATGGGCGAGATTGGCTGCTTCCTCAGCCACTACAGCATCTGGGTGACTATGGTGCGAAAAGGCTTGAAGGAAGTGCTCATCCTGGAGGATGATATACGCTTTGAGCCGTACTTCAGGCACAATGCCATCCGGGTTGTAAATCAGGCCAGAAGTGTCGGAGAGTACGATCTCATTTACTTTGGCCGCAAGCGTTTGAAGGAGGAGAGCGAACCGTGGGTCTCAGATGCCGATAGCCTTGTCCATGCCGGGTACTCATACTGGACATTGGGCTATGTTCTGTCCCTGGAGGGTGCCCTTAAGCTGCTGGCAGCCAAGCCGCTGGAAAAACTTATACCCGTTGACGAGTTCCTGCCCTTGATGTTTAATCGTCATCCCAACGAAACCTGGAACGAAGCCTTTCCCAAAAGGAATCTCGCAGCTCTCAGTGCTGCTCCTCTACTGCTTTATCCCATCCACTATACAGGAGACTCGGGATACATTTCGGACACCGAAGACTCGCAGCAAATCAATGTGGCGGAAAGTGATGAGGGAGAAGCTCGCCCGAAGAGCGATCGCGAGCAGGTTTTCGCCCAGAATGAGGAAGTGCAAGTAGGCGTCGTCGATCAGCAGCAACCCAAGCTGGGCGAGAGTCTGACCAAGAGCCATCAGGAGCTCTAAATTCCATGCCAAATTAGGGTTAATATTTCGCCAAATACCATAATGTGCCTTAAATCCAAAAATCCAAATCCACCAAATCAAATTAACGAATAACGAATGTTAAATTAGATTTTTAAGTTAAGTTTTCTGGGTAAATGTTTTGTGCAATGTTTAAGATTTTATTTCGTAAAAGGTTCCTAAAGTCCTAAAACGAATTCTAGGACAGTTTTTTTTTTGGCAGTTATACCTCCCTTCGTTTTCTAAAGGTTTTCTAAAAGGTTCTAAGGCTCTTATATTGAGGTATAGTGCCTATCCATACTTTAAATTCCAAAATCCAAAGCTATAATACAATGAATGGTACATGTTTCCTGTTAATTAACTTAAATTGCATATCAGGCCTTAGCCCACTTCAAAATCATTCGAAATCAACATCCAAGTTGCACAACCAATGAGCCCAAATGCGAACAATATCTTAAGGACTAAAACTAGTATATATACCATTGACATAGCCATTAAGTAGGTTTTAAACCCTCGATATAAAATCACTTTATTCCTCTGCAAACTGTAAACACTTAAGCTTTAATTTCCCCTTTATTTGACCATTTATTTATTGTCTCCAAAACCGAATCTATTATTGACCCATTGCTCCCCTCATGAACATGTTCTTGATGGGCGGCAGATTCTGTGTCAGCTGCAGTCCCAGACTCCTGAGTAGAACCACCGGGCTGAACTGCGTGGAGTAGAGCGTATGAAGACCATGCACGCCCAGCATGATGGGTACATTTTTGGTCAGGCACTTGCGCTCGTATTTGATTAGATGCTGCTTGTCGCCCAGCTTGAATCCTGCATAAGCTCCAGCTGCCAGGGATTCCACAAGATATCGAACATCGCTGAAGCCCAGATTTACTCCTTGTCCAGCCAGAGGATGCACTCGATGGGCGGCATCACCCACAAGAGCTGCTCCACTGCAAACGTATGAGGAGGCGTGCAGGAAGCCGAGCGGAAAGGTGGCACGCGATTTGTCTTGAACGCCAATAACTCGCGGTGGATACTGCACTTGATGCTGGCTGGAATTGTTGCCAAACAAGGAGTTCAAAGCCTGCACAGCCTTGTCGGCCAGCTCAACGCGTGGATACTGCCGGCAGAAGGCTTCATTGAGCGCATCTACGAATTCATCAGCTGGTAGCGACTGCAACATCTTAGCCTGCTCATTCGTAGTGCTCCAGACCAGGGAGCTAAGTCGGTCGGTAAGAGGCAGCAGAGCCACCGGTCCGTTAGGCAGGAACCTCTGCCAGGCCACCGAGTTGTCGCAGGCGTCTTCGCCCAAGTCCAAGGTGGCTACCAGGCCCATTCTATCGTAATTCAGCGAGAAAACATCCACATTCATCTCCTTTCGGACCACAGAATTGGCACCATCCGCTCCGATGAGTAGATCGCAGGAGAAGCTCCGCCCATCCTGCAGCTGAAGCTCGGAAATAGCGGCATTGGTGTCCTTGGGCAGGCAGACGCTTTGAATCCTCGCCTTGTTCAGAATCTCCACGTTGGGAGCCTCCCTTACGCGCGCATAGACCGCATCCAGGATCAAATCGTTCTCAATCATGCAGGCCACATCGCTGGCAAAGTTGTTGTGCTGGAACTGGATCAACGCTTCCGTGTTGGACTCCCAAACTTGCATCTGCTTGACAGGCTTATACCGAGCAGCCTCGATGTGCGACCAGGCATCTATGGATTTGAAGAGCTCGATGGAGTTGCTGTTAATGGCCGATACGCGATTCTGGTAGGGACCCGCTGGATCGAATCCTTTGAACTCTGGTGCTCCCTCCAGCAGCAGTACCCGCTTGTCCGCCAGAGTGGTATTCTTGGCCAGGGCAGCGGCCAGAGTGGTTCCCACAAGTCCACCGCCGCCGATGATTATATCAAAGTGCTCTGCAGCCGGCGACTTGGTGGACTCACTTCGGTTTGTTGTCACATTGCTGGCGGTTTTGGCGGCCAGGATGCGCAGCTGTCCCGCCGACGCCACGGCGCCTGGAATCCTCAGAAAGCTCAACATGTGCGTAAGCTGCAATTGGCAATAGTTTTATTTTGATTTACACAATTATTTAATTATTTTCGCTTGCCGTGCGTTCGAGAGTGACCAGATCTGACCCAAAGACAGGGTTGTTGAATTGCGAATGGTCACACGAATTAAATTTTTTTAAACCAGTAACGCATTTTCGAAAATGTTTAGTTGTAATATTTATTGAATTTATTGATTATTTATTATCGATAAACTAGTAAAGTTTACCTTAATCCCTTTTTCAGGTGCCCCTGCTTTGCACACTAAATGCTACGAGCTCTTTGGGGAAATTGCCAATGAACATAATGGTGATGTCTATGAGACCCTTCAATTGATCATGCGCCAGACCTTTCCCATGCACATCTTCATTGATAGTCCCCAGAGCATCAGTGTCGGACGTCGCGGAGGGGCCATGCAGAGCGGAGAACACATCTCCGATTGGTTCATCCAACTGATTGAGAAGTACCCAGAAATCCTCACCCGTATCCTGCATTTCTACATCGAGTGCGTGGTCTCCAATCCCATCAAGGCGGTAAGATCAACTAGAATCCAATCTAGACAAGTTCACAAACTTTTATTCAATTTTCTTTCAGTGGAAAAGCAACGATGAGAAGGTTGCTATAGGCTATGCGGCCAAATACGATCGAGTTCTCTTCGCCAAGTGTAATAAATCATGCGCTGAGTATGTCCTTGAAGCTGTCAAAGCCGACGATGCTGTGGGGATTCAAACACGTGCGTTGGATCTAATCGAAAGGATCCTGCTGCAGCAGAGCGAGGTGCAGTGGAGCATATTCCGGCACGATGTGTCCAAGGTGCCGAGGGAAGTGCCACTAATAACCGAGGTGATACGCTGCCTCAACGACAGGACTTTTACGGTTCGCAAGAAGGCGTGCCAAGTGCTCGTTCTGGCCCTTAAACAGGGCTCTCCAATGACCACGAAAATTCTTGATGAGAGCATTCGATTTGTTCAGTTCGAGGATGCGGATGTGGAGACCCTGACGGAGCCATCGGCAGAGCAGCATGAGCTGCGATTCGAGAAGCCGGGAATAATACAATACGCCTTTAGTTTTGAGGGACATGAGGAACTCGAAGTGGAGGTCAAGAATATCCCACAAATGGTGTATCAGCGATTTCTGGCTGCGGACAATGGTCTGGCCCGAACCTCTGGAATTGCTTTGCTCGAGAGATTGGTGCTCATAAATCCCCTGATCATTTACAACACGAATTTCGTAAAGGAAGTCTCCTTACTGGCCGTAGATCGGCTGTCATCAGTAAGGAAATCGGCTCTGGAAATGGTGGAAACCCTGCTGGAGGCCTTCTCCAATTGCTTTGCTTTGATATGCGTTTACTGCCGGATCTGGGCGTGCCTCATGAGCGACGAGGATGTGGCACTGCAAAAGTTGGCCGTTCAGGTGAGAGATCGGGCTGTAATATGCATTGAGCTTGATACCTGCTTGGCAATCCTTGTTATTATTCTTTATTCTTTCAGAGCTTCGATCGGATAGTCTTGAAAATATTCAACCCTTGGAGTATTCGAATAAAGCCAAGCATTTTATGCCCTGGCGAATAATTAGTACACTTCTGGCCACGCAGCCAAGAGCTTACCTGCAAGAAAGATTTGCTATTCTGCTGGAGAGAGAGACCTTTGTCACGTAAGGATTCCAATTATTACAATTTAAATGATATATTTACTAATGTTCCAATTCCTTAGACCGAAGCTGGTGAACGTTGTTATCTCCCATCTCTCCACTTCCATGGCCACAGATGCCTGGGGACTGCTACTTCTCCTGTCCAGTCGGATCACCAACAATATGGATGCCCTGATTGGTATCTTCAACGGCCTCTCCTCGTACAACATGCAGTCGAATCAATCGCTCGCTCTTCAACTCATCATCTGCTGTCTGGGGAACTTCTCAAAAGCGGCGCTAAATCAGCTTTTCCAGCGTCTCTTGACTGCCCTCAGTTTGGGTAACATTTGGCTGTCTCTGATCTCGACGGCAGTGAATTTGCTAAATCAGATTCATCACCTGTCCGTCAGCCAAGCTCCATCGTTGGATGCCGAAGCGCCAGATTGGCAACTCAAGTTGCTGGAGGATCTCACTAATGGCATACAGACGAGTGCCAAGAACTTCCAGGATGAGCACGTACGCCTACATTGTCTTTTAGGTGCCTACACGGAGATAATTGTAATGCTGCCCATGGATCCGGACAACAGGATCGTAGATTTCGTTTTCAAGTACCTGCAGGAGTGCACCAAGCTAAGTGAATCTCAATTTGATACGGAGAACGAGCGCATGACCAACTGGATGATTGTGATAGCAGGACGCCTGAGTCTACGGGACAGTCGCCTGGCCAACCGTGCATCGAAGCTTTACCGTATCATCCTAACAAAGAACGATAGACCGCAGATAATCAACACCACGCTGGTGGTCTTGAACGATCTGGGAAAGAAGCACCCATCGATTTTGGAGAGCAACTTCCAGTGCATTTTATCCAAACTGCATTCCAAGTTTGCTATGACACGAGTACGTACCTTCCGTTGCGTGAAGGACATCATCCTGTCGGGAAATATCAAGCTAAAGGGTTCCATTTTGATATCCATGCTGGCATCTCTGGTGGATGAGAGTGCTGAGGTGGCCCGCGAGGCAGATGCCTTCTTCATTCGCTACAGAAGATTGTATCAGAAGCAGTTGTTTGATCATTGCCTCAAGGAGTGTCCCTTTGACTTGAATGGGCTGGCTAGCTCGAGGGGAGTGATAATGGATACCAACTACAGATCACCGCTAATGGGTAGTGAAATGTTGAAGAATCGTCGGTTGCTGTATAATCACATAATGTCCTCGGTGGAGGAGAACACACTCTTGCTTTACTTTGGACAACTCAAGCTCTTGGCAGGTGCGTAGTCTATTTATATTCTAACTTTTATTATTTATTAATTTAACTTTATTTCCCAGAGAAAACTAAGGACCAAACTTTTGTTAACACTCCTGGTGCCATGGCAGTGGTCCAGGATATGCTCTTCATCATGCGACGCATTTGTTTTCTCACTAAAAGCAAGGGCAAAGAGAAAAGCACTAGAGGCGAAGGCGATAACGAGGCGGGGGAGGATGAGACGGTGGAGATAGCGCCGCCTCAAAACCCAGAACCAAGTACTTCAACGTCAAAGGGAACCGGCAGGGGCAGGCCAAAAAGGACGGACTCGTCGGAGGAACCAGTAAGTTACTATTAGAATTTCTTTAAGAAACTTCCTACAATTACTTCTTCCCTTGCAGCTTAAACAATTGGAACGTTGTCTTCGCTATGTAGAAGAAACCCATCGTAACCTTAAATCCGTGATGAACAATGATCTAAAGCATTCTTTTGACAACTTTTGTCGCGCCCTGGCCATGAGATTTCCCAATTACATTGATTTTGCCCAGCCGGCACACTTTTGGCAGAAGTACCGATCTGGAAAAGGTCCCAAAGAGGGCAAAAAGAAGCGACGACGCTTGACTGACAGCGACGAGGACGAGGACGAAGAGGAGACTGCAGAGGAGGGTGACAGTGATAATGAGATGCCGCTGGAGCGGCACAAATCCACACCAGCAACGGGAACGCGTTTACGACAAAGGACTACGAGCTGTGATATGCTTGTTACGGAACTGATCTTCCAGCCGCCCGATTGGTAGCCTCCTCAACCTAATATAAGAAGCTTTGTAAATAGAGATGAGTCGAGTTGTAAATATTATTATAGCTTTAATGAAATGACTATTGTAAGTTACAGCTGTAAAATTTTTTCTGATACCTCCTTGAAGCAGTTTCCAAATTCAATGATGGCAAGGCGGCCCACCTGGGTACGGTTAAGTCCCAGCTCCTCAGCCTCAGAACCCTGAATAAGGGAGCATATTAACTGTGCTTCATTGATTTCCGGAGTAAAGAAGTTGCGAGTTTCACGGAAATCCGTATCCGGCGGCTCCTTTGCCTCTAGCTGCACTTCAGGATCCTGCAAATCCATGGCAGTATCCGGAGTATCCGGAATCTCTTCAATTTCCATGTCGCCAGTTGATATCATTTGGGGAGGCATTGTTGCTACTTGTTGAAGGACAACATTGTAGGAATCCGGAGCCATGCGAATGATATTTACTGGTGCCATGGCCGACGACTGCTTGGTCGGAACAATGGCAATGGGCGGCACTGGGATATTGAAGCCCTCCTTGGCAGCGGCTGCAGCTGCCTTGGCACTCATGGCAGCCGCTCGCTCCCGCTTCATGACATTGGAGTTCCTGGACGGTATACGCGGCTCCACGGCCATTCGCTCCTCGGTGTTACGGCAGCCTGATAAAAGATATTAATGGGACTTTTGATTGAATTGTGTATGGAAGAATAACTCACCGACGCACCGACAGAACTGAGTGCAAACCATCATGGACTGATAGCAATCGCAGTAGTTTTTGATGCATTGCGAACGCTTGCAGCAGCATCCTTTAGCTGCCGGTTGAACGCGACCCTTGCCCTTGGCTGAGGCCCTCCTCGGTGTTTGTTGCATGTCCTTAAATTATGCTTTTTTCCCTCTGTAATAAATATCTTGAACGGTTCACGTTCTGACAGCTTGTTAAAGAAAATCAGTACCTTTGACAATCTGTCAAAACTAAGCAGAGTTGTGAAGCACCCAGTCTAGTGTTATGGGGTCGTATTGCCTTTAAATATGGTTCTTTAAAACTATATTTATTCTAAAGTAAGGCAAACATTTTCCCGAATAATAAAACAATCTCTAGTTATCGGTTTTTTGGCACTAAACTATTAAAGCTTAGATAAATTATTCATTCATATATTATTCATGGTAATAAAGTTAAAATTTGTTCAAGTACCAATCGTTCAACAAGTGTTTAAGTTTAGTTTATATCCGTTATAACATACGATAATATTCTTTGGTGTCTACATAATATGGCATGGCATTAAGTTATGATATATTGTTCTTCTCTATATGTCCTACAATAATTGAAAGCTAAGTGGTATTATAGATTTAATAAAAAAAGTATGTCTGGCTCTAGAATTACTCATTTAATTGATATCAATTTTAATTGCTTTCTTTTCATTTTAGTTTTTTAAATTTCGTTGGGTGTTTTTTGCAGGAAATGAAAAAGTTTGTTGAAGTTTTCCAACAGTTTTCTAAATTTCCTGCAAAGAAAACTCGACGCTATGATGATTATCAAAATCATTCCCTTGATTTTTCGAATTATTCGGAATTTTTATAAAATATCACTATCAAAAAACGATATATATATATATGTATCTATATAATATATAGGTAGTGTATATATATGTGTAGCAGAAGACTCTCGTTAACCGTAGAAAGTAATTGTGTGTGGCCTGCAATTGTTGCTATTGCTTCTCTAAAGTAACTAGGATTATCTCATCCGTTTTTGGAAGTTGCACTGCCTAGCATATAGTCCCGTTTAGCAGCTCGTAGCAGTTCTGGGGCGATGCCGGTGCAGCTGCAGCCGCCGCCTCCTGGCGCGTCTTCAGAAAATTGCCCACCCAATGGGCCGTGAGATCGAGATATTTGGTTCGGGATCCAGGATTATAGTCCAAGAAACCGGCACGGGGCATAACCTCCTCGATTTGGCTGCCATCGGGCCAGTTGTTGTAGCTGGCAATATTTATGAAGCCCACATGATTCAGGATGGCCGTTCGCCAAGCCACTCCATAGTACTACGAACGTATAAGATTGCTATGAGCTCTACCTGCCGATAGACAGATATCTTAACTCACCCTTCCATTGCTCCGATGCCGCTGTATATCGCCGTGTCGCGGAAACTTGTTTCTCTCCGCAAATCCTGGACCCACTGTCGGCACAAATAGCATCTTATAGGATAAAGCAAATGACTTCAGATAAGACCAGTTCTTCCAGGTGCTAGCAAAGACAGCGCCATTGCTGGGCAGCTTACTGTAGAAGCCATCGAAACACAACCGTCGCAGGACATCCGCATGACTCTTGAGTCTGATTGACAAGACAATTCAATTATAATTTATCGTAAAGCAATCCTGATGTCCTTACCTGATGTGTCCAATGAAGAAGGCATCCAGAACCCTTCGCAATCCGTCTGGTTCCACCAGTGAAGGCGTTCGGCACAGCAGCCTGCCCAGGCTATCACTTAATTTGTAGGCATTGCTTACGTAAAGCACTGGAAGGGAGACTCCTCTCGACTGACTCCACACCCTGTAGAAGCCGGGAAGACTGGCATACGAGGCGATCTCCTGCAGCTGCTGACGCACATACTCCACACTTTGATTGCCTGCAGCACTCAGTTCGAAGGTCACGCTGAGATTGTGATGCGGCGCCAGTTCCAGTATTTGATGTATCAGCGCCGCCTCCGTTGCTTTGCCTCCTGTGAAGCTCAGTATGAGCACTCCCACGCCACAGCTCCGAATGTTCTCAAAGTGCTGGGAGAGCAGGGAGTTACTGGGCTTGTACAGACCAAGAGCTGGATAGAAGGCCGTGTTCAGGATTCGGACTGGCCTCGGTGTCGTCAGGGGCACATCGTTCGGGTGCTCCGCAGGCGGCGGAGGTGGCTTTTTGGATTTGTACCAGGGCACTGGGGCGGTGTAGAATATGTGCACAGCTGTGGTCACCACATCCAAGGTGGTCCGTGACTAAGAGAAAAAGATAATATGATTTAAAAATGGTTAAAATTATATGCTTCCAAGTTTTTATTACCGCTTGTTCCGCTTCATGGTCCCGCTGCTGTTGCTGCTTCATCAGATCCATCTTACTCTGGATGATGCGCGCCTTGATCTTCTGCTCATCATACTTCTCGGGCACAATCACTCCACCGCGGTCTCGTTGCGGCTGCAGCAGGGAGACGGCCGCCGCCACCACCGCTGGCTTCTCCGGCGTCTGATCCCCCCCACCGGGCCTGTAGGCACGGGCAATGAATCGCTCGTCAAGCAGCAATTCGATGGCCGCATTGCGTCCAGTCGAGCCTAACACTATAATGGTGATGACCAGCAAACCGATGATGGCAAACAGGAGCAGGATCTTGACCTTACGTCGCGTTTTCACATACTTTTTGAGCAACATTTTCGCACGTGTGCATTTTACATTGTTTTTTTCGCCTCCTGTTTTTCCACCTCCTTTTGGGGCAACCCCTACGACCCCAACTCCTTCATCCGTTACAATGCAGCTGCCGGAAGCTCCGAGCCATTGCGCATGTCCTGAAACGGACACACTAAACTATCCGACGGGGGTTCCGGATTACCAAATCAGCAGATAAAACTCGCAGAATAAATCAATGTGAAGGCTTAGGAGTTTCTTATATTAAGGGTTTATTGGGATAAGTTAAGGGGTGTGTAATACATAGCTTGTTAATAATAATATAAATGAATATTACTTGTTAAATCCATTCCCATTTCAATAGCAATATTCCTCATCGACTTTTGTAGGTCAACACTTTGTCTGAATGTTTTTTATTTAGTAATAAAGTTGGGTTGTTTATAAAAGATTTGTTGTGGTTTGTATCTATTCGAAGTGCATTTTTGTCGGGTTCCTAAACATGCACTTTCGAGTTTTAGCGTCCCTCAACTGAAAAGTACATAAAAATAGAAGAAATTAGAAGTTATTTTGATAAATATACGCTACTCGAAACTCACTGTATGTGGATAGATCAATTTCAGCCGGCAGCTCGCTAATGTTCACATCGAATCGATCCTGTACTTCGTTGAGTATCTTGGCATCGTTCTCGTCCGAAACAAATGTAATGGCCAGTCCCTTGGTACCGAAGCGTCCAGCACGGGCCACGCGATGCAAATATGTGTCCGAGTCCTCGGGCATATCATAGTTGAAGACAATGTTTACACGCTCAATGTCCATGCCGCGACCAAAAAGTTGGTGGCCACCAAAATGCGCTTCTGGAAATCCTTGAACTGCTGATAGCGGTTCAAACGCTCCTCCTGGTTCATGCCGCGATGGATGCCAATAGCGGGGAAGTTTTGTTCTGTCAGGAGCTGGGCCAACGCCGTGCAGCGCTGCACAGACTTGACGAAGATTACCACCTGAAATGGGACGATAATAGTAATCTTACACAAGCCTTTTTAGCCGTTAAACTTACCTGATTGAACTCAAGCACATCGAGCAGTTCGAAGAGCTTCTTGTTCTTCTCATTCTCCTTCAGGTTGACATAGTGCTGCTGCAGTCCGTGCAGCGTCAGCTTCGCCTCATCATCCACGTAGACCTCCATTGGCTAGATATATCAGAAATAGAATGGGGGCGCATTTTAAAGGGGGAAAACAGAACAGAACGAACTAAGACTAGGCTCGCCTCGGCACATACAACAATATGTTTAGAATTTTCTACATACGGCCACGCTACCACCACATCTCATCATCAACTAGACTCTGTCTCTGAACTGCTCTCGAGGATCGAGGAGGATCAACAAACGCTCCGACAAGGGTGCGGATACAGATGAGGACTCGCTTTGCCTGGGCCAGGTCCGCGAACATCGTCGTCTTTTCAGCTTTTCGTTGATTTATTTTTGATTTTGTACCGGATCGTTTCAGCGGTTTGTTAAATCATTTGGATTTCGATTGATTGGCTCAGCGGTTACAATAGTTTATACTTTCGTTACGATTTATCTTTTACGCGTTTAACCATTTAGAAAATGGTGTCTGGCAGTGATCAACTAACGCGTTTTCGATTCGGTTTAAGCTCGCGCAGAGCTATTGGACGTATTTGGGTTTACACGATTAACCATTTGCAAGATGGTGGCTGGCTTATGACATGGAAATTGAGGTCGGTAAATCGACATCGAAAATAATGACTAATTGTCGTGATAGCGGTGGATGCGAGATGGAGAAGTACGAGCATTTTTGTTATAATCACGTTGATATTTACATCTTGCATGAATTTCTTGCACACCGGACGAATGTCCTTGCTCAATGTGGCAGAGAACATCATCACTTGCTTTCCATGCGGTGTGCTACGGAAAATCTCTTGAACGTCACGACGCATATCTAGAATGCAAGATTTCGAGAATTATAATCATTTTCAAAGGTTTAATGGGGGGCTAAGGAAACTTACCCAGTTGCTCCAACATCTTGTCGCATTCGTCCAGAACAAAGTGCTTCAAATGCTTCAGATTCAGTTTCTTGTTGCGTATCAGGGCTAGAATACGTCCGGGGGTTCCCACCACAATGTGCGGAGTACCACTCTTGAGAGTCTCCTCATCCTTTTGAATGGCAAGACCACCAAAGAACACGGCAACCTGCAAAATTAAAAATAAAGGATGGTTAGTTTGTCAATTTTCCATATAAACATAGTTTTATCCACACTTCAGATTTCACCTAAACAAAACCCCAAACTTACCTTAACTGTTGGCATGTACTTGGAGAAGCGCTCATACTCCTTGCTGATCTGGAAAGCCAGCTCACGGGTGTGGCACATGACCAGAACATGGCAGGTGTTGTTGTCCGATGGCTCCAGCTGCTGGAGTGTGGCCAACACGAAGACAGCCGTCTTGCCCATACCGGACTTGGCCTGGCAGAGGATGTCCATGCCCAAGACGGCCTGCGGAATGCATTCGTGCTGAACTGCAATGACATAGTGTTAGTTGTGCGACTGTACCTGCGATCACCTCTCGGTGACTCTTATCCGTACTCACCCTCCGAGGGATGCTCGAAGCCGCAATCAACAATAGCACGGAGGATCTCCGGCTTGAGCAGGAAGTCACGGAAGCCGGAACTGTGAATGGACACATACGTGCCCTTCACGTCCTTCTTGGGCGCCTCCTGTGTCTCCACCGCCGTGGTCTCGGTCTGCTCCTCATCCTCGTAGTCGAGAAGATCGTCGTTGTCTGCCATTATTGTGCTGTTGTTTGTGGTTACCTAAAGACTCTGGCTAGAAAATACAAGTGTAAATGCTGCGGAGGAAATAAGAATGCGAGCGTGAGTACGAGTTACATTTACATGTGTACAACAGAAAATGCGCGCAGAAAAAAAAGGAGCCGGTGCCGGCGTACCCTCCGCCATCTTGTTTTTTTTTTACCACACCGGTGTACATGTATTTCAAGAAATCACGAAATATGACTTTTGCACCACTGTTTTTTCACCGGAAATACGTGCTCAGTGGTCAAACGTACCTTTTGCACACGTTAGTCGCTTTAAAATTCTACTTTTAACGCGATTTCTGCAAGAAATTATGCACCAACGTGACGAACCGAGCAAAAAATTTCCAAGAGTGACCGTTTGATGATTTCACAAATGGCGATGCATGCATTTTTATTTTTTGACACCAATCAGTTCATTTTTCATTTGCGGCAGCTGGCCCCACCAAACAAACGTGAGTTAATCGATGTTTCTATCGATTTTAGTAATCGTGACCTCTAGTTACGCGTCTATCGTATCTTGGCTATCGCCAGAAAACGAATTTTCCGGTTAAGGCAGCTGGTCACACAAAGCGTAAGCAAACGTATCGTGGCGCAATCGATGTTTCTATCGATGTTTGTAATCGTCACCTCTAGTTACGTGTCTATCGTATCGTAACTATCGCCAGAGAACGATTTCAATTCAGCGTCTGCCGCGTTTTTTGCAGCGAAATATTTAATTTTACAATTTGTGCATCCTTCGATCCTTTGCAAAACACAGGTGAGTGGATGTCCTACTAGTACACCTTGAAGGTTTGTGTAAAATGTCGCCGAACAACCAAAACCGTAACAACCGCAAGCTGTGTACGAGTGGTCAAGCAATTTCACTCAATACTGAAATACCCCCCTGGTTGCCGCTGCAGGAAAATGCCGCAAATATTGAATTAAAACCGCCATGTTGTTTAATTTCCTGATTCCTATCGGGAGATATTCTCGGTCTTTCCGGTGTAATTAGTTTAAGTGTTAACTTAAGTCCAGATTATGTAGAGGCGGCCGCGCCTTTTGCCCCACGCCCATAAACAAACGCCGCAAACTCACTCACTCCACCGCTTTTTTTTCGTCCGCTTTAGTACAGTCGCTTGAGTGAAAAGCGACTTGCGAGTGTATGCGTGCGTGCCGGAGAGAGCGTGTGATAAACTCGTTTCGCTGCTGCTTCTGTTTTTGAGCGTTTTGTGTGTTTCCACAGTTCCATTTCGGTTTCGTTTTTGTTTCTGTTTGGAATTTTATCAGACGGGTCGCACCAACTCAGCTCGTGGCGCAAAAATAACATATTTCAGTGTATCGAGGTCACCGTCACTCACGTGTTATTTGTTGATTCTTTTGCCCCCCACAAAAGCGTGAAAATGTCGAGCAAATCCCGACGTGCTGGCACCGCCACGCCGCAGCCCGGCAGCACCTCGACCCCGCGGGCGCCATCAGCGGGTCCGCAGCAGCACCACCACCAGCAGCCGCCGCCGCCGTCGTCGTCGCAGCAGGCCTCCAGCCCGCTAAGCCCCACGCGCCACTCTCGCGTCGCTGAGAAGGTGGAGCTGCAGAACCTGAATGACCGTCTGGCCACTTATATTGACCGTGTGCGCAATTTGGAGACTGAGAACTCCCGGCTGAGCATCGAGGTCCAGACGACCAGGGATACCGTCACCCGGGAGACCAACAACATCAAGAGCATCTACGAGGGCGAGCTGGAAGAGACGCGTCGCCTGCTGGACGACACAGCCCGCGAGCGGGCACGCGGCGAGATCGATATCAAGCGTCTGTGGGAGGAGAACGAGGATCTGAAGGCCAAGCTAGATAAGAAGACGAAGGAGTGCACTACAGCCGAGGGTAAGTCTTGGGAATCTAGAGATTCATTTGTTTCAAAATTTAGAACGTTAAGTAAACAGATGTGTCCATCCTTCCCTCATATGTTCCCCCTTAGAACTGATCAACCCACCCCTAGAACCGAATGCCGGATAACTAAATTGATTGATTTTTTTTCCCACCCCGGCAGGCAATGCCCGCATGTACGAGTCGCGTGCCAGTGAGCTGGGCAACAAATACACCCAGGCATGCGCTGATCGCAAGAAGGCCACCGACGAGCTGAACGATGCTCTCAAGGAGCTGGAGAAGCTGCGCAAACAGTTTGAGGACACACGCAAGAACCTGGAGCAGGAGACGCTGTCCCGCGTCGACCTGGAGAACACAATCCAGAGCCTGCGCGAAGAGCTGTCCTTCAAGGACCAGATCCATACACAAGAGATCAACGAGTCGCGTCGCATCCGTCAGACCGAGTATAGCGAGATCGATGGACGTCTTAGCTCCGAGTATGATGCCAAGCTGAAGCAGTCGCTGCAGGAGCTGCGCGCCCAGTACGAGGAACAGATGCGCATCAACCGTGATGATATTGAGTCTCTATATGAGGATAAGATCCGTCGCATGCAGGAGGCCGCTGCCCGCACCAACAACACCACTCACAAATCCATTGAAGAGCTTCGCAGCACCCGTGTCCGCATCGACGGTCTCAATGCCAAGATCAACGACTTGGAGCAGACCAACTCCCTGCTCAATGTCCGCATCCGCGAATTGGAGCAGCAGCTTGACAACGATCGTGAGCGCCATGGCCAGGAGGTGGCTTCGCTCGAGAAGGAGCTCATTCGCCTGCGAGACGAGATGGCGCTGCAACTGCAAGAGTACCAGGACCTCATGGACATCAAGGTGAGTCTTGGGTTCAAGGGGTTTTAATATTTGTTACTCTTAACCTTTTTTTTTACTTTCAAGGTCTCCTTGGATTTGGAAATCGCAGCCTACGACAAGCTGCTGGTCGGCGAGGAGGCGCGCTTGAACATCACTCCGGCAAACACTGCCACCGTGCAGTCTTTTAGCCAGTCTCTACGCAGCAGCACCCGTGCCACGCCCTCGCGTCGCACTCCCTCCGGGGCCGTGAAGCGCAAGCGTGTTGATGATGCCGATGATCGCCTAATCACCGACTTTTTCATCACGAACAGTGCCAAGTACGATGTGCAGATCAAAGAGATTGATCCCGAGGGCAAATTTGTGAAGCTCTACAACAAGGGCGAAAAAGAGGTGGCAATCGGCGGCTGGCAGTTGCAGCTTTTGTCCAACGACGGCGGTCCGTCGACCACATACAAGTTCCATCGTTCGGTGAAGATAGACTCGCAGGCCGTGGTGACCGTTTGGTCGGCTGACACAAAGGCCTCGCACGAACCGCCATCGAGCATCGTGATGAAGTCGCAAAAATGGATCCCGTCCGACAACAGTAAGACAGTCCTGGTGAATGCTGATGGCGAGTCTGTGGCTACTCTGGATCGCATCAAGAGGGTGGTCTCCACGCACACCTCCACTCGTCTGAGTCGCCGCCGCAGCATTAGTGCCGTGGATGGCAATGAGCAACTCTACCACCAGCAGGGCGATCCGGCAGGGCAGACCGGCGAAAAGTGCGCCATTATGTAATTTCTAAACCAGACAAAAACAAACCTAAAAAAAGAAGGAAACACCACACACAAACAGATAAATACTAATCAGCTAAGTTATTTTTTGTGGCCGCCCGTCGGTAATTTAATCAAAAACAATATTTGTGTCGATCTGCCCAAGCAGCTAAGCGATAATTTCCGTTTCGTTAACTTTCACTTCTGTTTTTCTAACCTTTCCCAGAAACTTGTAGTTTACAATTCCTATGTCTGACGATATCTTTCGTTTTATGTTTATCTCATTCAGCAAGCTTTTGTAATCTTTATATGGCATAGATAAACTCACATTTTTATGCCACATAGAACTTACAACTTGCGCCACCCCCCCTGTTCTTTCACTTTCATGTATTTTATTTGTGACGTTAAGAACTTTGAAAATATTGCATAAAGAAACAATATTTTTGATGAACTTGCGTTCACACACTCCGTTCTATAAGAAATTAGTTTTGTAAGCGAACATTCGGCAATGACTTCAAAAACATCGAAAGCCAACCAACAACAACAACAACACAGGAAGACAAGATACAGATCAACAACAACAACAGCAGCAGCAGAGAAAGAAGCTCTTTCAGACAAAACATTTATTTATTTAAGTATTTTTTGTACAATCAGCATAAAATACATACTTTATACCTATAAACATTTATATATATAGAACATAATGACAAACCGCCAGCAATATATAATTTTTAGACTTGGCCATAAGGGTATTCTTGATCCCCTCCCGCTTATACTCGGACCACTTTCTCCCGGCTTAAACCGGTTTCGGGCTTCCTGCAGCCATTCTACAAACATTACAACAATAACAACATGAAGTATGTACAACAATAATTAACAACAACGCTCAGCGATCCGTCGCATTTTTATGAGTGGGCATGGTCGCGTTTTACGCCGGCCAAAAACAAATCCAACGCCCACACAAACTATTTTGTACACAAATGACCATTGTAAACGAATCGAAACTACTTTTTAAGTATGTAATTGCTATTTGATAATAATAAAAAAAAATAAAGAAAACCATGTTTAATAAAAATAACAAGTAATGTTTGCTGTAAAGCAGGATAATACTAGAAACATAATATTATCTTGGCATACCTTACGCTTGTGCCAATATACCCATAATGTATTAAGCAATCCAGGGTATTCATTTCACTTTCGGCCCTTTTCTCGTCATTTCTTTTGCGTTTTCCTTCGTAGCGTTGAGATATTTTTAGATTTAAGTCCAATTCCAAGTGTGTATGTGTGTGCGCACTCAAGGCGGCCGATGTAAATGCTCAAAGTTCCATCGTTTTGAGTGATTTATCGATAGTAGAGAAATTCGATGAATAACAATTGAGTGGTGTGTGCTGAGAGTCATAACCGGCTTTTGACTTTTGAGTGTTCTCTCCCTTTAACGACTCCACAAGTGAGATGGCAACTAAAAAAAACACTCATACGCAGTGAAAAAAGTTCATTCAACCGCGGTGAGTTCGTTCCCGATGCAGAAACCCTGACCGTACAACCCCGACCTGCCGAGCGTGATAACAAAAAGTATCTCAAGGTTGTAGCTGCGATTCCCGTTGCATCTGAGCGTTCGAAAGTGTTCTTTATCAGCTGCCAGAGAGCGAATTCCTAACCACAACCGCAAAACCAACTCAAAACTTGAGCTGCCGCATAAATTGCCAGTCGAAGCGAACAATTGAACAGTCTCAGTTGAAGCTCAGAGTGAAAAAAACACTACCGTCACTTGCAAATAGTATTAGCGCACATTAATAATAATAAATAAATAAGCAGTTGCCTGCATTCGCCAGTGCTTTGTTGAAGGTGAGTGACAAATATATTCAAGTACAAATCGCGTTGCCAAGTAAGAACGAGAGTGTTTTTCATTGGGGACAACGCCATAAATGGGTTAATTGTTAATAATTGGGGAGTACGACGAGTGGCTTATCGCTCGAGTAGAACAATAAACAAACACATATTGACTATATAAAAAAATAACACACAAAAGTTGAATGGGAAGGCTTCTATAATATCTTATCCCAGACAAGTATCAAAATCTAATCTAAATCCGGACAGTGTTGCCACATGCTGTGCGAGTCAATATTCTGCAACGATAAGGTGGTCTTTGTTTTCCAGTTCAAAAATAGCTCACAGCTGGTAGTGTTGTTTTTCTGATTCTGCATGCAATCGAATATATTGGGTAAATAAAGAGATAAATGTGTGGAAAATAATTGGTTAATAATAATAATTTTAGTTTGAAATCGACGTCACATTTAGGCTTGACTTACTGACTTATCACTTGTTTTTGTTTACGTGCTTATTTTTGTACTACAATCGAATTGAAAACTGATAATCCAATGAAAATGATTGTTTCTCTATTACTTTTTTATATTTTCGGAAATTTAAAGGGTTATCTATATTTATTTTATATTGAAAACAGTACAAACTGAAATAATTTTCATAGTTATAACATTAAATCTTAAATAACCTTCTAAAATAAATTAGTTAATATTATCTGATTTCTTTCAGCCAAAATATGAGGTTGGTGATATTGGAGACGAGCGATTCGGTGGGAAAATGGGCAGCCAAATATGTGATGAAACGAATTAATGACTTCAAGCCAAGTGCTGATAGTATGGTTTTTTATCATTATCTTTAGTGAATTGATTTATGACAAAGTGAATTAATTTTTCAGATTCTTTGTATTGGGCCTGCCCACAGGATCCACTCCGCTGGGAATGTACAAAGAGCTCATTGAGTTCCACAAGCAGGGCAAGGTCTCATTTCAATATGTGAAAACCTTTAATATGGATGAATATGTGGGTAAGTTCAGGAGAGGTTCCCAAGAATAGTTTTTAAATCAAAGTAAATCATATTTCGGAATTAAATGCTTAATTCTAAATAAATAATTCTAGATAAATACGCATATTCTATGTCAAAGTTGAATACTTAAACGCACAGACTCATTGATTTGTTATTAATACATTCTTTAATATCCCCATAGGCCTTCCCAGGGATCATCACGAGAGCTATCACTACTTCATGTGGCACAATTTCTTCAAGCACATCGATATTGATCCCAAAAACGTGCACATTTTGGATGGTAATGCCTCTGATCTGGTGGCCGAGTGCAATAAGTTCGAAGATCAGATCCGGGAAGCAGGAGGTGTGGAGCTCTTTATCGGCGGCATTGGACCCGATGGACATATTGCCTTTAACGAACCCGGATCCTCATTGGTTTCCAGGACCCGCGTAAAGACCCTGGCACAGGATACACTGGAGGCGAATGCCCGGTTCTTTGACAACGATATGAGCAAGGTGCCAAGCAGGCGCTTACCGTGGGCGTGGGCACCGTGATGGATTCCAAGGAAGTGATGATCCTCATCACAGGAGCCCACAAGGCGTTCGCCCTGTACAAGGCCATTGAGGAGGGTGTTAACCATATGTGGACAGTGAGTGCCTTCCAGCAGCATGCCAACACCCTGATGATCTGCGATGAGGACGCCACCCTGGAGTTGAGGGTGAAGACGGTGAAGTACTTCAAGGTATGCCCACCCTCGATTGCCTCAATTTTGTAAAGAAAACTGGGCAGTAGTGATGGTGCTTGAGTAGCTTGCCTTCCAAGGTGTTGGTCTTGATAACCCCCGGGGCACTATTGTAGGTCTGCAAAAAATGTAATCTAAATGCTTATACTTATACGGTTGTTGATTAAGTTAGGACTTGCATGTAATATACTGGCTTGCAGGGTTAGAGTTTAATGGTAAGAGGTTGATATTTATATCAATGTATACATTTATATATATATTATATTGACTGGCTGACTGGCCACTCCCATAATTTCACAGGGCATCCTCAGGGATCTATATGAAGGCGCCCAGCAGGAGGGCTACATAAACTGAGTTTTGAGTAAGGTATCTTTTGATTTATTCAGATTTACCCCAAAAAACCAAACACTTTTTACAAATTCTCTTTATTTAAAAAAAAAAATAATAATAAGGATTATAAAACAATGAATAAAGAATGTTCCCGACATCAAATTAATCAAAAGTTGTGCCAAAGAAAATCAAATTCGTATAAAAGAAGACTGTCAATGGCCCTTAAATGGATCTTATACTGTGTTCCAAGCCTTAGATATGAAAATAATAATTGTGTAATATTTTTAAGAGACACAAAAATAAAGCTAAATTTATTTGTTTATTTATTTTTTGGCTTGTAGTTTAGAATAGTCTTGCAAGAAATTTAAACTAGCTTAGAAAATGGAATATTGTTATAAAATCCTTTCAAGTTCTTATAAGGAATTTTATATAAGAATACATAATATACTATATAAAATATTTTTTATAATGAGGGTTAGTTTAGGCTTAAGATTACTAATAACTAGTAATCCGCAGATAAGATTTTAAGATTCTACAAGCTATCTAGTTTAGTTTTAAGATACTGTACCTTTAAAAGATAATTATTTTATGAAAATCTTATTTAGCTAAGTTAGTAACTTAATATACTTTCAAGATACTTCACATCTGAAGAAACCTGATAGATAGTCTATAATAATACCAATTGCTTATCTAATATTAAATCTAATCAAAAATTATGAAATATTTACAGAGCCTTATGGACGTTCACTCCAAACTGATAGAGCAGCAACAACCCACGTAACCCCAACGGATCAATATAACAAGGATCTGCCAAGGGATCTGCTATCTTTAAACTCGCATCTTACATCTTTTTATATTGTGTTTACATATATGTTTTTAATATATATGTTTTACTTCAGTAATGTATTTCAAATCATACAATGAATTTAAGACATTATTTTTCTTTATTCAGTAATAAAATATTTTTGTAATAAATGTTTTTTAATATATAAATTTATTAAATTTATCCATTTTGTGGCTGTGCCATTTGCAATGTTAAAGATAAAGTTTTAATGAAGAATAGGGAACGGATTCTTGGGAAAAATATTGAAATAAATCAAATGGGAAAAAATTAAGTTAAATAATAATAAAATAAATAATTTGTTTAAGTTTTTGATTTCACAAATATTTATTTAGTTTCATATTCATACTAAACCTATTGATTATAATTTGAGAATTTCTTAAATAGCAAAGAATATGTTCTTGTATTATTTGTATATTTAAGCTTTTATTATAGTCTGTTTATAACAATTATATAGTAAGTAAGTATATGAAAGAACAAGATCCGTGGCTAGGCCCAGTGTAGGGAGAGCCCTTCAACTCTTGCCCAGAATCTTGTTGTCCGTATAGACAAACTCTTCGTGATCCTCAATAAGACGGAAGAGCTCCTTGGCATAGAAGATGGAACGCACAGACTCCTCCAGGATGAGCTGATGGTTCTGGACAGCCCTGCGGACTTGTTCGTGTATGAACATGGCTTCCAATCGCTTGGCTCGCTGTGTCAATCGACAGGCCTGGTTGTTCCTCAGACGCGCCTCACCAGCCGTCAGGCGACCCTCCACGGCGGGTTGATGACGCGCCGCATTGTCGTGATAGCTGCAGATGTCACCGATAACTCCTGCATTCACATTGAAGATGCCCTCGGCAGCACTGATCACGGTCCGGCAGACCGCCGGGGTGCAGATCATCTCGCGTTGCAGATTCTCGCAGATCATGGCCTGCAGGGCCGTTTGACGGGCAATCTTGAGGTAGCCTCGTCGCACATGTCGCCTGCCCAGCTTTTCACGCATCGATTTGAAGTAGAAGACCTGGGTGCCCCACATCTTACCCTTCAGGGGTTTTGGGTTCTTGCGATCTCCGCGTTCCTCGCGGAACAGCTGTCGCTTTACGCGCTTCAGGCTCTCCGTCTTGGCGGTCAGTCGCTCTGGCTGGAGGCAGCTGTTGACCTGGTGCCACACCTCGGTGGGTGTGCTCAGGGCCATGGCACTGGTGCTGCACCAGTACATCTTGTGACACATGCCGTTCATCAAATACAGCTGCCGGATGCATTCGTTGAGGAAGCTACGCTTCGTGGGACTGTGGAAGTTGGGGGGATTGTTGATCACATAGTGATCCCGTTTGTATACCACACAGTAACCGTATCCCGGTCCAGGTCCTGGCTCTCCTCCGTTCGGCATTCCTGGCTTCTGGTAGACAATCAGCTGCTGGTCCTTGTAGTCAATCGGGGAGTTAAAGATGAAGATCTGGTTGTGCTGTGCCTCCTCGTTGGGAGTGCGGAACATGAGCAGCTTCTCGGAATTAGCAGCTTGGTCCATGACTGTTGGGCGTTGAGTGATAAGGATGTGGTTGATTCGGGAGCCTTATATGCGGAGACAGGTAGCCAGAACCCTGAAAGATTCTAGCCTGTACAAGCCTGTACATTCCCTCAGGTCGGGTTCCTTAGGGTTTTCTTGGGTAGCTTAGGCTAAGTACGGCTCAAGTTTTACCTGAAAATAAGAGCTTGGAAATTCTTATAGATAAGGTTATATATAAGTCTTACCTGTATGACGACAGATGTTTGCCATTACGTGATCTTAGCCAATTCGCTAGTTTATTTATTCCTTGAGAATGAGGTAAGCTTAACAATTGGTATTAAACAAAAATGGAGTGGAGTTTAAGATCTGGTGTTGTCTGAGTCTGAGCAATTGGTATATTAGGGCCATGCATAGTTAAGGAAAAGTATTCAACTTAATGGAGACTTAAGGATGTTTCGATCTTAAGTTAAGTGTGAGTTAAGATTTACAACCATTTGTTCTAATATACAAAAATTATATTTTTAAACAAAACAGTTAAGATTTGGCCACAACCTTTAAATTTATTCACACTGCTGCACAGATCGAACGGGAGAAATTGCAGACTTGTGTCATCCTTGCAGGATCCTATCATTTTAGTCAAAAGCTTGAAACACAGTGAAGGAGTCGTTTCCGACCCTATAAATCATATATATTCTTGATCATCACAACAGCCCGAACTAGACACCTCAGGAAGAAAACAAAAATTTGCATTTTCACATTTACAAGGTTAATCGTTAAATTCTTAAAATGTTGTCAAATTTTTAATTTTTTTAAATATTAAATTTAGTAAGCAGACTTTTAACCTATTAAACCTAGCACAGAACAGCTTTCCGAATTGAAATGAATGCATTTTGGCTTAGTTATGATATTTAAAAAAATTGATTTGTCCAAAATAATACACTTATTTTACTTTCAGTTTCCAAAGTTTTCTAGTTTCCTTTTTTGTTTAATTAATTCGTATAATAAATACTATTTTTGGTGCAAATATGTCAACTCACAGCAGTCCATGCATTTGAATAAATCGGATTTTGATGACATAGTCAATGCCCTTGTGCAAAAATAACTCATATCTGTCAAACTTGTATTTAAAGAAGTTCTAATTGCATTTTGAACAAAAGTTCTCAGCTTATTTGTTCACCTTGTTGCTATTAAATAAGGTAAGGTATTTTTAAAGAAACCTGAACTTTATAAGCTGAAAAAACGTATCAAATTAATAGGTGAAGGTTGAGGTGATCCTAGGTAAAACTTAAAGTTAATCAGGTAATAACCAATTTGCTTGAAAAGTCTATAAGAACAATCCCTTAAAAGGATTTGAAATGTTTTGCAGCCAACCTCATAAACGAATTGTGACAACTTTTCCTTAATCCCACACCAGGTGTTCTCGGCCATAAAAGGGCCTCGCTTGGGCTGGCCTAATTATCCTTCAGGTAAAGCTCACCGACAGGTAAGGGACAGTCCGCGGAGGGAGAAGAAGACCGGAGAAGCCCCCTGCGTTTCTCCCTTTTCGTGGCATATAAGTTTGAGGGATGAAGGATTGCAGCTGTCAGAGGCAATCGAACCACGAGATCGTCTACAACATGGGCAATGTTATGGATCGCAAGGTGTCCTGTGCGGAGGCACGAGTCAATGTTGCTGCAACATCACCGAATTCCCCTTCTCCGCTGACTCTCAAGGAGCCGGAAAAACTGGTGGGCAAAGGTCCAGAGGAGGAGCCAACGCCACAGCCGCAGATGGCCTCAAACTTGACTTTTCACCTGTACACCTATCGCCAGCAAATGGGCTACAAGAAGCACCAGGTGATGAAGTGGGCCACCTCGAAGCTCCTGCTCACCGAGGAGCTGCTCAAGCTTCACAGACAGACAACGTCCACGTCCTGGACCGATTTTGAGATGACAGACGACGAGGAGGACTTGGAGGATGTGGAGAACCATGTTCCCGCACGGGATAATAACGATAATGATAATCTTCTGGCCCAGGAGCTTTGCAATTTGAAGAACTATCGCCTGTCGCTCAGGGGCACCATACTGGAGGTGGCCCAGGAGAAGATGAAGAAGCGCGAAAAGAAGAAGCTGAAGCGTTTAAAACGTCGCACCCTGATCTCCTCCAAAAAACCCAGTAATAAGGACAAGCAGAAACTCTGGCAATATCCCAGCCCATCAATGCCGCTACTGGACGAGGAGGAGGAGGAGCATCAACGGAAGCAGGACGCACAACCGGAGGTCATTGTCATCGACTAAGATAGTTCCCAGTTAATAGTTTTAAGCCTAAGCCTAATCTAGTCGTTGTCCTCGTTCTAATTTGTACATAGTTTGCTAGTCTGTTTTAATGGCCATTTAAATGGTTCAGCCAACATAAATATTCTTACACGAATTGTAACTAGTTTGTTGTTAATTGACTCGTCCTGGCCTGGCCCAAATCAAAGTTCAATGAGCCCGGCGAGTGTCCTGGTGCTGCTCCAACTGGATACAGGATTCGCCGGGACATTCCCCTGACACCGTAAACCTTGCTGCATAATTAAAATGTCGCGTAATTGATTTCGAATCCGTTTGCAGTGTCCTTTTTTCTGCTTATTTTGCTCCTGTTTCTGGCCGGAATGCTTTGGTTTTTGATCCTGCTCTGGTTTCACCGACAAATGACAAACATGGCCAGTTTTTTCTCTATTTTGTTAACTAAACCAACTAACATTCATATAACCCAATTCTTTTATAATTTACAAGCCAAAAACCAATATTCCCCATAATCCCCATCAGGGTTTATCTGTGTCACATTGTATCCCCCTAAATCTCCACTGACTCTGCCACAACTTGTGATAAACTGTTACCCCTTTTTTTGGGCCACTCTTGCCACCTCCCCTTCGCCTAATCTTATCTAGCAACTAATTAAATTTACGCACACCAGAACAGGGCAGCCAGTCCCAGTGCAGTTGGAAGAACCAAATAAATTATTATGGGTCATGCAATGCGAGAGGGTTTGCAATTACTAAGGAAAGTTTCAAGTTTGAAGTTTGATGTGTGTATTTTATGTGGCCCCAAGGAGCCACTCTTTGAACTTGTCCCAGTAAGCCAAAAAACAAGGTTACACCACTTTGAGCAATTAAAAAGTGCGAAAACCGAATGCAATTATCGCATATTGTCGGGCTTATGTGGCATTTAATAAAAATAATTATGAGCGGAACAACCTGGTTAACGGAATGGGAGTCCTGGTTAAGGATGCGGTTATGAGCTAGGCACGCACTTGGCATACGCAGACAGACGCCTGACACAAATTCCCTTTTCAAGTTACACAACAAGGCTATCCGGTTCTCCAGCTCTCCTCCGGCTCGCACTTCATGTGGAAATGGCTCCCAAAAGGGGCTGCAATTCCGAATTCCTTGCAACGCATCAAAGGCACACCGAATTGTGACATGTCCTCACGAGCCACCCACTCCGATTCCCATTTCCAGTTCTTGATGTCCAACCACCAGCCACAGCCCCACCCACTTTGTAACACCACCACCCACTGCGTGGCCACCACAAACAATGCTGCGTTCCACCAAAATGGCCATCAAGATGGGAACAATAGAAGTGGCTCATACACTAAGGAAAATGCTGATTAAATTGAGTAGGAAATTACTAGAAGATTTACCAAGATAACATATTTGAAATACTTATTAATTTTATTAGCTTTGATTAAATTACGGAAAAACAATAATAACGATACTATGTTTAACGATAAATTGTATGACTGATATTTATATAGTACTTCGATTTTCATAAAATTTTACATACAATTCTAGATTAATATATAATGCCTATATATCAAATTTGATGAAAATCTGTTGAAAACTGGAAAAGTTACGATTTTTGTTCTATAAATCGTCCGATTGTTCCTATATCTGCTATATATGTATATATATAGTCCACCGATTCGGCACGCTCCGATTTATAAGGATTTAAAATGATATAGAAGATCAACTGCATAGTTAAAAAAATAGCTTGCACCTAAAATTGGTTCAAAACCAATCTCTCACATGCATATGATTCTCAACTAGTTCTAACATCCCCGGAACAAAGTGACTGCTGCCGGCCAAGCCTCAGAAATGTGTTGTGTTACAAAAGTTGCAAGTCATTGTTTATTAGTGTTCAAACTTAGTAACTAATCATACATACTTACTGGTTATAGATACTTGCTGATCATACTTACTTACTGGTTATAGATACTTACTGATCATACTTACCGATTATAGATACTTATTGTTCAGAGTTACTTACTGCTCATAGCTACTTACTGGTAATAGATACTTGCTGTTTAGAGTTAATTACTGATCATAGTTAATTACTGGCCATAGTTAATTACTGATCATAGTTCAATAAATCGTCCGATTGTTCCTATGTCAGATATATATATGTATATATATAGTCCACCGATTCGGCATGCTCCGATTTATAAACTTGTAAAATTATATAGAAGATAAACTGCATAGTTTTATAAATATAGCTTGCTCTTAAATTGTTCCAAAACAAATTTATCTCATGCATATGATTCTCAACTAGTTCAAACATCCCCGGAACGAAGTGACTTCTGCCAGCCGAGTCTCAGAAAAGTGTTGTGTTAAAAAAGTTGCAAGTCATTGTTTATTAATGTTCAAACTTGGTAACTGATCATACATACTTACTGATAATAGATACTTGCTGATCATACTTACTTACTGGTCATAGCTACTTGCTGATTATACTTACTTACCGATTATAAATACTTAATGTTCAGAGTTACTTACTGCTCATAGCTACTTACTGGTCATAGATACTTGCTGTTTAGAGTTAATTACTGATCATAGTTAATTACTGGCCATAGTTAATTACTGATCATAGTTCAATAAATCGTCCGATTGTTCCTATGTCAGATATATATATGTATATATATAGTCCACCGATTCGGCATGCTCCGATTTATAAACTTGTAAAATTATATAGAAGATAAACTGCATAGTTTTATAAATATAGCTTGCTCTTAAATTGTTCCAAAACAAATTAATCTCATGCATATGATTCTCAACTAGTTCAAACATCCCCGGAACGAAGTGACTTCTGCCAGCCGAGTCTCAGAAAAGTGTTGTGTTAAAAAAGTTGCAAGTCATTGTTTATTAATGTTCAAACTTAGTAACTGATCATACATACTTACTGATAATAGATACTTGCTGATCATACTTACTTACTGGTCATAGCTACTTGCTGATTATACTTACTTACCGATTATAAATACTTAATGTTCAGAGTTACTTACTGCTCATAGCTACTTACTGGTCATAGATACTTGCTGTTTAGAGTTAATTACTGATCATAGTTAATTACTGGCTATAGTTAATTACTGATCATAGTTCAATAAATCGTCCGATTGTTCCTATGTCAGATATATATATGTATATATATAGTCCACCGATTCGGCATGCTCCGATTTATAAACTTGTAAAATTATATAGAAGATAAACTGCATAGTTTCATTAATATAGCTTGCTTTAAATTGTTCCAAAACAAATTTATCCCATGCATATGATTCTCAACTAGTTCTAACATCCCCGGAACGAAGTGACTTCTGCCAGCCGAGTCTCAGAAAAGTGTTGTGTTAAAAAAGTTGCAAGTCATTGTTTATTAGTGTTCAAACTTAGTAACTGATCATACATACTTACTGGTAATAGATACTTGCTGATCATACTTACTTACTGGTTATAGATACTTACTGATCATACTTACCGATTATAGATACTTATTGTTCAGAGTTACTTACTGCTCATAGCTACTTACTGGTCATAGATACTTGCTGTTTAGAGTTAATTACTGATCATAGTTAATTACTGACCATAGTTAATTACTGATCATAGTTCAATAAATCGTCCGATTGTTCCTATGTCAGATATATATATGTATATATATAGTCCACCGATTCGGCATGCTCCGATTTATAAACTTGTAAAATTATATAGAAGATAAACTGCATAGTTTCATTAATATAGCTTGCTCTTAAATTGTTCCAAAACAAATTTATCCCATGCATATGATTCTCAACTAGTTCTAACATCCCCGGAACGAAGTGACTTCTGCCAGCCGAGTCTCAGAAAAGTGTTGTGTTAAAAAAGTTGCAAGTCATTGTTTATTAATGTTCAAACTTAGTAACTGATCATACATACTTACTGGTCTTAGTTACTTGCTGATCATACTTACTTACTGGTCATAGCTACTTACTGATTATACTTACTTACCGATTATAGATACTTAATGTTCAGAGTTACTTACTGCTCATAGCTACTTACTGGTCATAGATACTTGCTGTTCAGAGTTAATTACTGATCATAGTTAATTACTGGTCATAGTTCAATAAATCGTCCGATTGTTCCTATGTCAGATATATATATGTATATATATAGTCCACCGATTCGGCATGCTCCGATTTATAAACTTGTAAAATTATATTGAAGATAAACTGCATAGTTTCATTAATATAGCTTGCTCTTAAATTGTTCCAAAACAAATTTATCCCATGCATATGATTCTCAACTAGTTCTAACATCCCCGGAACGAAGTGACTTCTGCCAGGCGAGTCTCAGAAAAGTGTTGTGTTAAAAAAGTTGCAAGTCATTGTTTATTAGTGTTCAAACTTAGTAACTGATCATACATACTTACTGGTGATAGATACTTAGTGATCATATTTACTTACTGATTATAGATACTTACTGATCATACTTAACATACTTACTGGTCATAGATACTTAATGTTCAGAGTTACTTACTGCTCATAATTAGTGATCATAGTTAAGCGAGGGTATGAAAAGCATGGCTTTTGATTAAGAACATTCTAATATGGACATAATTCTATTATTCTAAACATTTTTTACTGTACTTTAAATTGACTCTAATTAAATCTTTAAAATCCCTGGTATATAATATATTTATACCATTTAATTTTCCCCAGTGCAACATATTTTTCCCAAGTTGTTTGGGTGAGTCCTTTGAAGGAGTCAACCACCCTTCTTACTTCGCCCTTTCCTGCCACTTCCACGCATGTGTAGCGGTTGTTAATTGCCGGCTGGCTAAGCGGAAGCTTCTAAGAATTTTTGCTTTAATTAAATTTTTTAATAAATACGTTGGCAAAACAATTTATTAATTGCAAAACATTTTTAGCTAACGCCTAGCAGGAATGGCAGCCATCCGGGTTCTGCTTGAGGAAATGCACCCTTATTTGGCGCAAAAGATTTCCTCTGTTCAATTTCTTAATGTTTTTCTTACTGTGACTAATTCCATGAGCTATGAATTTCCAAAGAAAAATAAGCTATAAATTATCAACGAAGTTACTTATAACCAACCACCGTATAATATGAAATATGGAAACAAATAAAATGAAAATAGAGGGATTTTTTAAGCCAAGTTCTACTAAACCCAAAAAGTCTTCTTCTTTTGGAGAACAAAGTAGTCCATTGAAAA